TAAAGTTGGAATAATATCATGATGGAAATTCATCTACCCTTCACCAGTTGTTGGCATTTTGTACCATTTGTATTATCTTATAGATATATATTTTTAAAACCATTTGCAAGTCAGTTCCAGAAACATGATATTTCATCTCTAAATACTTCAGCTTGCATCTCTTGAGTATAAGAACATTCTCCTACATAAATTTGATGCTATTATTACTCCTAAAAAGTCACAGTAATTTTTAATACTGTAAAATCCCTAGTCAAAGTTCTGCAATTTTCCCAAACATTTACAAATTTCGCCACTACTTTTATCTGTTACAGCTATTTTTAAAAAATCAGAATCCAGTCAAGAGTTATGAATTGTATTTGGTGATTATATCTGTTTATTCTTTTTAGAACTAGCATAGTTCTCCAGCCTTTTATTGCTTCCCACATTACTGACTTTTATGAATACTCCAATTGTTTTGTAGATTATTCCACATTCTGAATTTGTCTTATTATTCTCATAAATACATTTAGATTCAATATTTTGAAAGAATACTACATATTTAATACTGTGTTGAACATTCACATGACTGGATTGTCTGAGTATAGAAGTGTAGGCTAAAAAATGTTTTTCAATCAGAATTTTGAGAGCTTTGATCTGATGATTTCTACTATTACAGGTTGGTGTTGAGAATTCCTGTTCCTTGTATGTGACCTAGATTTGTTTTGTTTGTTCCATTCCCCCCCACCCCCACCTTCTGGATACTTTTACAGCTTTTATCTTTGGTGTTCTCAAATTTAATAATGCTTTGCCTTCGTGTGTGTATTTCTCTTTATTCATTGCTGGTACTCAGTGAGGTCTTTCAATGTAGAGGCTTATATTCCTCAGTTCTGAGAAATGTCTCCCCATTTTTCTTCTCTCCTTCTAGACCTCTTACGAATGGAATTGGATCTCTGGATTGGTACATTAATTTTACCTTTTTGTCTTAAGTGATGTCTTTTTTTAAAAAAAAAAATACTTCATGGGAGAATCCGATAAATTAATCTTCCAACCATTCTATGAAATATTTAACTTCAGTTAAACACACATTAACTAGTAGGGTGTCAAGAGGATGTTTCCATGTTCTCAGATGGAGTTCAGGTATCCCATTCTGAGCGCAAGGCTTCATCTCCCCTCACGGAACAAGAGTTCGCAAGCCAGGGAAGTCCAGCACTCTGTCCTGGGGATTCACCTAGCTCAATAACTAAGGGATTGATGACATTCGTCATAGGTGCCTCAGAGGGTGCAAACCTCTTTTCAAGCATCCAGGCTCTATCAAGATTATGAAAACATGGCTCCACTAACTTTCATTTCTCATTCAGGGCTCAAGAGCTCTAGCTTCCAGCAGGAGTCAAATAAGTTTTAATTTGTTCTGTATTATTCCATTTTACTTTTGGTTTTGTGTCCTTTAGCAAGAAGCTGGAGGGGCTACATGTCTCCAGGGCCCCAAGTCCCCTGAATTCCCTACATTTCCCCCATTTCCATCTGTTGAAATACTACTGATTCCTTATGTCATTTTATATGACACTATCTTCAGGAAGAGTTTACTGTCCTTACCAAGCATATAGTAACCCTTAGTCCTCTGAATTCCAATGACCTGTTGTTTTTTCTCACTGGTACCTAGAATGTCTAAACATGTACTGTACTTATTTTTAAAAATTTTTCTCTTCTTAGATTCTAAGCTTCTGAAAAGCAAGGACTATATCATAGTTAATCACTCACTGGTACCTAGAATGTCTAAACATGTACTGTACTTATTTTTTAAAATTTTTCTCTTCTTAGATTCTAAGCTTCTGAAAAGCAAGGACTATATCATAGTTAATCACTTTTTTTTGATGCCTTGGGGTACAGTACAGTATATTCCATAAAGTAATTGTTCAATAAATACATAGTGAATTATTAAATAAGCACAAAGGAGACTATTCTTAGCCAGTGTACATATGAGTTGACTCAAATCAATCACTATTAAAAGCGAAATATTTCAAATGATAAGTATATAATACTATTGCCTCTATTTATTAAGAACAACTTTACTATTTGGTTTGAGATTATTACATTTTACTTCCTCACTTACGCTTTTGCTTTTTTTAGTCTTACACAGAAAATTCACAGAATAGATAGAATTCTTTCCTGTTAATACACAATTTCATAAAGCATATAGAGCAATGATCCCCAAATAATTGTACTTACTGTAAAAGATAAAGTCAATGGGGATACATATACATAGACTACTTTTGTTTTCTAATACTTGAAGTATTTTCCAAACCATCATTTTAATAATAAATATTTATAAATATAAATATTTGAAAATGTATATGTAGGCATGTAAATGTTTGTAAATGCTTGATACTACAAATAGTATCAATATTTGTAATAATAGTAATAATAGAACTATTATTAGACCACAGTCACAGAACAAAAAGCATCACAATGTTTAGGATGCCAATACTGTATCCTAAATATTAAAAAAAATATATTGATTGCATATCCTTATTGCATAAATTGTTAGTTTTCTTAATGTTAACGGTAAAGGAGTAGGTCACTTTCTGAAGGAGAGGGAAGGAAGCAAGTGTATCCCGGAACCTAGGTCAGGGAGAAATGATAGCATAGCCATGAAGGGCATGAATCTGGCTTTATTCT